GGTTTTTAGTTGCTCTTTCCCCGGTGCTGGCAGCTGCCATCCTGCTGCCCCCAGACACCCCTCTAGCCAGCCTGGTGCAGGACAAGACCCCAACCCAACATCCCCTGGGACCTCCAGCCCCCATCCCTCCGGCTATGGCAGCAAGGAGGGAGAGCTCTGGGGTGGGAAGGACACCCGGTGAGGGCTGCATGACGATTCCTGCCAGCACTGGTGCAAGCACCAGCACAAAGACCGACATGAGATGGAGATGGGACGCCCCGTGCTCAGAGCATGGGAAGTTTCTCGGCCTCCCCGGCAAGCAGCGTGGCAGGACAAACAGGTTTGGTGGGTGGCGTGGAAAAGAAAAAGGGAAGGTGGGTCCCAGCATACCATGCCGGCGTAAGTCCCAACCCATCGCTGCTCCTCCTGCGAAGAAGTGGGCGCTGGGGCGATTGCCAGCCGTTCCTTTACTGTTTCCCCAGAGGAGATGTCCCCACCGACATGGAGGTTTTGCAGGGCTTCCCGTGACCCCCTGGCTGCAGGAGCAGGATGAGGGGAGGGCAGAGCTCCCAGCCCAGCCTCCCTCTGCCTCGGTCCATATTTCACAGGAGAGCAGATACCCATCGGCCATGTCACAGTGGAAAACCAAGAACTCAAAGCAATTTTAAATGAACTTTCAAAATGATGAACAAAGAGCCCTTGTCCGTGTTATACACCAAATAAATCACACCAAAATGATAGTTGTAATTCCCAAAAGTACACAGAGAATTGATTTTCCGATGACATTTATAATGATAAACCGGTGCAGCAGCATACAGGCACATCTTAAGTTGCAGCTGGTTGACTCCCTCCCATTTATCACCCATCCCATCTTCGCTGGCCACATTTGCACAGTTGCACAAGTGATTATTGCTACTAAGGACAACAGTCCTGGGGCCAGTTTCAGCTCACCCTGCACCAAAGCTCGGGCTGGGTTTGCCTCTCGCCCCACGCTGACTCAAGCCTCAGCCGCAGCAGGTACAGGGCGAAGAGGCATTTTAATGGCTCGCCAAGCACAATGCCCACACGGGCAGGCTCCTGAGCCGTGGAAACTATTTCTGGGTGGACACGAAGCACCTCTGAATTGCAGATCAAAAAACAGGTTGAGTCTGGGTTGGTTTAAGCCACCCTCCAGCCCTGGGCTCTGGAGAAATCTCCCAGGACAAAGCGCCTGGAGCAGCTGAGCTGGACATGGATTGAGGGGCCAGGAGGGTCCCGCTCTGCCGGGTGGAAGGAGCAGGGATGTGCCAGGTCCTTACCTAGCAGAGCCTGGTGAGCAAGGACACCGGACTGCTTGTGTTGCAGCAAGCAGGCAGGGCTCTGCCCTCCAGAAATCGCTCAGCCCGCAGCGGCCAGGGAAAACAGCCTTGGTTTGGCCTTGGCTTTCACCCAGGAAACTCCCCCGGTTCCTGTGCTGCTGGGGCAGGATGGATGGGGAGTATCCTCGGCCATGCTGGGCCCCAAGCATCCCAAAAAAGAGCTGGAGACGCAGCTGGGCTTGTTAGTGAAAACCAAAACCCTTCCCAAAACCTAAGGTCGTTCTTCCAGAAAGCGAAGCCAGCTCCATTAGGATAACATTGCTTTCAATCCCCAATCAGATTTTTAAATTATCTCTGGCTGTGCCGGTGTATATATCTCCCTTTGTCAGAGCCTCGCCAGCCTCTCCCACTCGCCTTTATTTGTCTTGCTGCTGTTGCAGCGAAAATGTATTGGCTTTGCAGTTAGTGATTACACGTCATCACATACCCAATTTATAACACCATACCCCAAAGAACAGATGTAATAAAGCCAGGCCAGGAAACAGCAATGTTATAAAACAGAGCAGTCAACTCAGAGGTCCTTGCATGTGTGCAGGAAAGAAAATATTATAGACACTGGTTTGGGGAGGGAGGGGTACGGGGAGGAAGGGGACTCGTGTGCCGGGGATGGGGGTGGCGTGTCTGCATCTCATAGGGATGTGGACGGGGGGATCGGGGCTGTTCAGTCCCGAAGCCACTGCCTGGGGTGCTGCAGCCTGGGCAGAAGGGATGTGGGTGGGTTTGGGGGGGGTTGCAGCACCCAGGTCTGGCTGGGGCAGCTGCTTCTGGGGTGGGCAGGGGGGGACACGGCTTTGCCTCCAACCGCACAGGGGTTTCTCCCAGAGCCAGGCGTAAAGTCAGGGTTTCCTCAGTCTTAGTCCTGTGCTGAGCCCTCGGCCCCCTTCTCTCCAAGGGGAGGAAAGGCGAGGAGGTCTGTTATCTCCAAAAGCTTTGATTTCCCCCCACCATCCCATGAAGCCCCCTAAGCCCTGAGCTATTGCGCCAGGAGACACTCTCCAAGAAGACTTGCCCAAAGCAACAGTTTTATCTTCTATTATTCATGGGCCAGGGAGACACAGAACTCTCGCAGCAGGACGGGCTAATCACCAGCAGAGATAGAGGCAGCCCCGTCCCGATAGCTGTGTGGCGGCAAGGGGCTGATAAACCGGCAGCGGCAGGAGCGGGTCTCCAGCGACGGGGCTCCCACTCCAAAAGCAACTGTGGAGATCCCAATGGCTCATTATCAGAAAGTTTTTGTTTAATAATCCAGGGTAATAAAATGCACCTCTGGAGGACTTTGCCCAGATAAAGGAATGTAAATCAGTGATAAAGAGTTTTGAATTTAGCTACCACAAAGAACATGTTAAAGCCTATTGTTCCCCGCGCCTCCACCGGTGACCTTGGCCGCATCCGTGCCGGCGGCTGGGGCTGGTGCTGCTCCTGCACCCCAGGGACAGTTGATGGGAGGGATCGGCTTCCCAGTTGGAAGGATACTGGGCTTTTCTGGGGAATTTGGAGGTCCCAGGGAGCTGGGGTGGGCCACGTGTTGACAGTGGCAGCAGGACCACAGGCGGACATCTTCCAGGGTGATGCGATTTTCCAGCGACAGCAGAGCCAGAGCTTCGGGAAAGGGCTTGGGGAAAGCCCGTGTGCCCTAAAACTGGGTGCACCCAGATCCCTGAAGTGCTGGAGATCTGCCCCGCTGCCGATGAGCCCAGCAGATGGGCAGGAGCAGGGCCTCATCCAGGGCCTAAAATACAGAGCTCGGCAGTTTGCTGTAGGCTGCTGTTAAAAAAAAAGGAAAAGGAGTGAACAACAAAAAAAAATAGTCTGGTCCTAGATTGTATATGTAGTTTAGAAACTGATGTTATGCAAATTAGTTAGCTTCAAAAGCTAATCACTTTGAAAGGTCAAAACTCATATTCATAATCGGACTAAACAAAAAGCTAATTAGAGGCCTTTTGTGTGCCTAAATGAGGCCAGAGAATTCCCCCTGCTCCCAGGAGTGAGTGATGCTCAGGAGGGCTCTTGGCAGGATTATTTCTTCCGCGAGGTATTTACTAGTAAAACCCTCTTGCCGAATGAATGGCAGTAATGATACAGAAATGGCACCAGACCCAAAGCGTGTATTAGTGTAACATTAAACTGCCATTACGGACCGAAGCATAAATACGAGAGAGGCCAGAGCTGGAGGGAGATGCTCTGAGCCAGCCCGCTCTCGGGATGCAGCTGACACCCGCCACGTCCAGCCGGGGCGCGGGACGGCTGCTGCCCGCGGGAGGTGTGAGGGCAGGCAGCTGCCTGCACATGCAGGAGGATGACGATGCTCCGTCCTCGCTTCCCCAGGTCTCCGCGACATGCGGTGCCTGGGTCAGCAGAGCTCTGCGAGCAGGGGCCAGCAGCAAGCTCAGCTCCACCGGTCCGCACCCACTGCATGTTTGGTCCCTTGGCTCTGCCGGTGCCCGGCACGGTGCAGAGCGGCACACGCAGCTACCACGGGCACCGTAGAGGCTCCGGAGCTTCCCCTGCGAGACCCCCCGGCCGGAGCCAGGGGCCCTCAAAGTGCCTTTTAATGCTTCCCCAGGAGCAGCCCCTGGACTCACCCCGGCTGTCAGCGGCACCGTCACTCCAGCTGGTCCGGAGCGCTGGATTCCTGTTGCCAAGATATGGATTTGGTTTTAATAACAGTTAGTGCAAACATTGTAAATTTACTGCTGCTAGAGAGAGTTTTTGAAAACGTCCAACTCTGGCTATAATTTTTCAATCGCACCAGCTGTTTGTGCTCTGCTCATACCTGACATGCTGCTTTGAAATAGCAATCACTGTATTTATAAGAAGGGAAGGACTCATAAATATGTCAGGAGTGGAATATACAACGCCATATTTCACCATTTTCTATTTTAAAATTGTGAGTTATGGCTACAGAAATGTGGTCCCATTAAAGGTGATATGATGTATTTTGTGTCTTGTTCAGGAGCCCATCCATCACTGAGACAATAAAGAAAACCGCACTTACTTTTTTTCCCTGTCGTCTGTAATTTATGATGCCCAAAAAGCTGTAACCTTTTGGCAGGCTTTGCAGAAACTGCTGCACTGTTAGCAACTAAATAACCTTTTATAAGGTTTTAAATGTGTTGCTACAGTCTCAATGCACTTGCTGTATCGATCCAGAAGATCCTGCAAAAAAGGGGAAAGGAACATGATCTATAACAGGATCGATAACAGTATATAGATTGTTGAAAGATGCTTCTAATGATTTTTGCCAGCCGTCATCTTTCAGTGTGCTGCTCCCCATCTTTTAGGCTTCAGTCTTTGCTCAAATTAATTAACCTTGCTCAGCCTCTCAGTGTTCCAGTGCTCCAGACAGAGACTGGGAACACCGCAACGTGGTTTCAGCCTGCAGGTTAATCAGAAAGGGTGGTAATAATAGCACCGGACGGGGAGACTCTGGCAGGGAGCAGCATCCCAAAACCACCCGGCGAGCACCCCCCAGCCCAGGTCCTGCCTGGCGCAGGCAGCCGGGAAGGATGGGAAGAAACAGGGTGTGCAGGAGCAGCCCTCCCTCCGCCTGGCTCCCACTGCCCATCCCTGCTTTAGGGAAAAATATTCTTTTTTTTCTGCAGCAAGGCACTGGCCCTTCCACTGAGGCACGGGGCATCCATCTTCCTTCGGGGGTCGGGACCTATGAACTGCACCCAAAATCTGACGCGGGGCCCGCTGGCGGCGTGCCGGCTGCTGATGCTCCGGCTGGTGGGTGCGACGGGTCCACGCCGCGGGATTTAATCATTAACCCTCGGCCCGGGTTTTAAAAGTGCTGAGTGGAAAGCAATTACAAGGCAGAAGTCTCCATGTTCACAGGGCTATTTAATCAAAAATAAAAGAGAAAGGAGCCAAAGTGAGGAGGTGTGTGGCTGGGCATTGACAGCACGCTGTTCCCATAAAGCACAGCTCCGCTTACCCTGCCCAGCCGGCTTCTTCGCTTTGTCATTTATGTTTTCCCCCCAAAGCAGCCACCAAATCATTATTAACGTTATAAATAAAATGAGAGGGCAAGTTATTAAATGTAAAATATGTGGAGTCTTCCTCGAACTCACTGCGTAGTTCATAAATATGATGGCTTAATTTCATCTGTAATCCAAACGGCTGATGAAGCATTACACAGCTCTCTGTTAATTGAAGTTGTTAACAAAGCTGAAGAGAGAGATTATTATGTATAGACTTTTATCCTTCAGGGGTATCATCATAACAGATCATAAATGGAAATGAATTCATCGCTCCCACATGCCATCGCAGGATCCCTGCATGCAGTTTTATGCCAGGCGGGTGGCCAGCGCAGCCACAGGGCTGGGATACAGGATGGATCCCATCCGTGAGGGTCCCCTGTCCCCTCCTGCAGCCCCAGCGCAGAGCCCTGTGCCCCAGCCAGCCCGGCTGAGCCCCGTGGCTCTCCTCCCGGCACCTTTGGCACGAGCTTCCCAGAGTCCGGCTATCAGTTTGCAAAGCCCCTTTGAAGGCTTTAGCTGTGATGTGCGATCATTGCCATCATCTGGGGCACGCGATATATCAGGGAAGATGGAAAATCCATTCCCTCAACTGATATATCCTGGCCGAAGCGCTCACGTGCGGGAGGATCCTCTGAGTTCAGGCCAATTAATTTACTGCGGGGCACAAGGCGAGTTTCTGTGCAGGCACCCAGGGCTCAATATATTTCTCGGCTCCATAGACAAAGGGTCGTTACTATCTCAGACTGGAGCATCTATGTTTTCAGCACATTGCTTAAAGTAATAATTGTTTGGCTTCTAGTTAGTGATGGGTTGTTTGTTTTATGGAGAAGTGGCCGGCTGGTGTTAAAAGTTGTGTGGGAGGAGAACATCCCTTCCCGCGGCTTTCCGTGGTCACTCCTTACGCCCTGCTTCTGCTGAGCCCTGGGAGATGCTCTCCCAGCAAGCGAGTGCCAGTGTCCACCCCAGCCCCCCAAATTCACCCTCCCCGCGGCAAGGCAAGCCAGCCCAGCCGAGGTCTGCAGTGCTGCAGCCTGTATTTCTGGGCTGCTCTGCTTCCAGGTGGAGCTATGAAAACACACAATGCCGTTTCCTTCTCCTGGATCCCATCAGCTTTTTCCATCCAGCACATTATCCAGGAAATTCTCGTCTATACCTTTGAGGAGTTACCGTGATTATCTGGAACGCGTTACTTGCACACAGCAAATGCAAATTAATGTAGTCTTCACATTTCGCCGTGGCAATAAAGGGGAATGTTGACATCAGCCTGAAAGTAGAATTAACTTTTGCATTATGTGGTGTGAGAGCGAGGTGTTGAAACCCGCGTCCGAGACTTTCCAAGTTACAGTAAAGAACTGTTCTGGCAGCGCTGCAAAAACACGGCAGTGTTTCCAAAAGGCAGAGGTAAGCTGAGTGCTCTCTCTGTTCCAGGCTGGATTATTGCTTCTGCTGGGCTTTCAAAACCCTGCCATTTTGTCTCGTTACCTCTAATGTGCTCCTTGGTTTATTGCAAGCTCATCTCCTTAAGAAGAGAGAGTTACAGTGCTGTCAGGCTCTGCTACTCTCCGATAAAGAGCCCGCTCCGTTCCCAGCAGCATCAGCCTCCCCTCCCCGCTGTAATCCCTCCAGCAACCCTCTTTTCATCGCAGCCACGGGAACCCTTTGAACCAGAGCAGACAAGGGCTGGAGGCACCAATCCTGCCTGGGCCCTGCCAGCTCCTTTGCAGCCATAACCCCGGCGGCTCGGTGTTAACACCTTGTTCGCGGCGGTGGCACGCACGTTACCAGAGCCCCTTAAATCACGCGCCGAGGCTCAATAGGAAGGGACAAGGCTAAGAGCCATATTGATCCCTTCTGCAGTGCACGGGCATCCGCCGCGCTCCCAAATCCCACGGCGAGCACAAAACCTGGCGTGGAGCATCTGCCGCCACCCCGGCGAGGGTGTCCCTGGGGCTTCGTGCCCCCCCTGGTCCCCGTCCCGCTCGAGTGGGGGTCGGTCTCACCACGGATGCTTCAGGTCCCGGCGTGTGCCGGATGGGGAGCCCGGGCACGGCCGTCGTCAGGCGATTTTCTTGTAAAAGTGGGTCAGCTTCGATTTTCTGCCACCAGCCGTGCTGGGGCGAAGGGCAGCGGGAGCTGGGGGAGGCTGACGGGGAGGAGAGCAGGGGCTGCCCGGAGCAGCGCCGAGCGAGAGCGAGGCACGCGGGGACGGGCTCGTCGGGTCAAGTGGGCTCCGCTCACCCGGCAATTACATCCCGTCCTTCTCTCCTCCGAGATCTGAGCAGAAGGGTAAATTAGCCTGCGTGATTTGAATTAACCCCTTGTCTGCCTCTGGCCTCAGTACCCACTACGTGGGAGGCTGTCGGCTCAGCAGCATCCCATCCCGGAGTGGGACCCCCCACCTCCGTCCAGCACCATCCTGTCCTGTCCCGGTGGTGGACGGTCTGACAGGTCCATCGCCTGCAACTGCTCCGCTGTCTTCAAAGCAACACTGCCTTGCAGCAAGGCCTGGTTTTATCCCTGCGCTGAGCAGCAGCTATTGCAGGCAGGGGCTTTGCTCTTGGTGGCTGCCTGCACGGAGCAGGGGGACGGAGGGAAGGGGAGCGGGAAGAGTTTGGAAGAGGATCCCTGGACGTGCCTGCGTGCACGGGGCCAGCCGCTGGCTGCGGGCTCAGCTTGGAAACCGCTTTCTTAATAAAGAGCAAGTTTAGTTTCATAGCCGTGAAGGGTGGCTGTGTCATTATTCAGCACGGGGCATATGAAACAGGTCGTTCTGCTGAGACCCTCAGGAAGGAGCAGAGCACAATAACAGGCAGCCGAAGGGACTCAGCCGCCGGACTCGGACCACCAGGACCGGGGCTTTGCAGGAGGTGCCAAGCATGCAGGCATCTGCAAAGAGCAGAGGCGAGGGGGCACCCAGCGTGTCCCGTCACCTTTGCACGGGATGGGGGAGATGCGGGGGCAGCTCTGGCTGCCCAGGGGGGCTCGGTATGGCCCTTCGAGGGGGCAGCAACCCCCTCCCTGGCCAGGCTCCAGGACAATTCGGGCTGAGCAGGCCATAAATGAGGAAGAAGGGAAAACAAATGATGCCAGCAGCAAGTGAAGGAAGTGTAAGAGCATTATGTAAAATATTAAATTTAATGCTATTCCATTTTCCATCTCAGTTATTAAATTAACTGAGAACTATGCTTGCACTTAAAAGATTCCTGTCATATTTTATGCACACGATGATCTCAGAGTAATTCATGTTAGAAATATGTCATGTTAAATTACAGATACCAATAAACCTTACTTAAACTCGGCATTGATCATGTGTGGGAGATAAAGTCCGCAGGGCCAGATCCCCCCGGTCGTGCACCCCCAGCCCTTCTCCCCATGCAAAATTCACCTGGGTGGGAGCAGCAGGTGACAGCTGGGATTTTCTTTCCACCCTCCCCATCAGCACCAGCATCTCCCACCGCAGGGCTGGGGCCGGGCAGAGCCAGCCGGGCATGGTGGGGACATGGTGGTGCTTATCTGCTGGGGCGAGCGGGTGTTGCTTGACGTGCGTGGGAGAGCCGAGGGCGCCGGGCGGGTGCGCCGGGCAGGGGTGAGGGGTGATGGCTATCCGCAGGGAGGTGATACCGCTTATCGGCAAAAGACTCGGTGTCACCATATCAAACGTGGCGCGGTGAGAGTCTGTCTCCTATTTGGTGTCACCTCTGCTCGCGCCGGCCTCGTCTTTCCAGCTTCCCCATCCTTGGGCGGATGGTGTGGGTGGATGCATCGAGGCAGCGATGGACGCAGCAGCCTCACTTTCTCCACGCGCTTTGCTGGGCCGTGTAAAACCTGCTCCTCCTCCGGTGCTGAATGGGCTACTTTTCTGAGCGCCAAGGTTGCACCCACACACGGGCGCACCCTGATCCTGGCGTGGTGGGGCTGCAGCACCCCTGAGGAGCCAGGGACAGCGAGTGCCATCTCACCCCTACTGCAAATGGGGAAACTGAGGCAGGGAGGGCAGCCCTTGGGTTGCTGCCCCGGTGACACCGCACACCTCGGGGCGATGCTGCCCGCCGAGGAGTGCCCCCCAAACCCCAGCCCATCGCTGCGGGGTGAGCGACTGCCCAAGAGCCGGTGGGAAAGCGGGCAGCAGCGGGCAGACAGGCTCCCCCAGACTGCAGCACAGTGTCCAGCCAGCCACGCTCGCCGTGGGGATCCTTGAGCCCTCAGAGCCAGCGTCCGTCCTCAGCACAGGCAGGGCAGCCCCGGCTGACAGCTCCGCGCCGTGAGAGCGAGCCAAAGCTGCATTATGAGGCGCCAGGCTCTGCAGGAGAGGGAATATGCTAATAATAGGCCTAGGCAGAAAGGGGAGCAAGCTCCCTCCCCGCACAGCGTCGTGCTGCCGGCTGCAGGATGCGACCTCTAGTCACCAGCCACCTGGGGGATGCTCTTCTGGTCCGGGACCCCGTGCGTGGAGCAGACCCCTCCACCGAAGTGCGAGGCTGAAAGCCCTGCCGGCGCGGGGACTGCCAGGCTCAGACCTGGCGGGGTGCAGGTTCTGTTTTGCAGATGAGAGCAGTATGGACATCCTTGGGGTGGTTATGTGTGCTCCGTCTGGAGGGTCGGGGGGTGCCCCTGTGCTGCCCACAGCCCCAGAGGCGGACAGACCTCACTGGGGCTCTGCCATCAGGGCAAAGCCAGCACGTGGGGACCGCAGAGCCCTTGGTGGGATAGGGGCACCAAGCCCCTTCCCAAAACTCAACCTGCAGC